TGCAGGGCAATGGTGGAGGTGACTAAACATTTTGTAGTTTCTTGCTCCTTTCTCTTTTCTTTAATAGTAATTTAATAGTGAACAATGACATAGGATAACAAAGGCAATCAAGGCTTGTTCGTCGCTACCTAAAGCGTCATGCTTTCGCAATCATCAGGCAACACTAGTGACCAACAACATACAGACAGCATAGAAATAGCCAGGACTACCACCATACTGAGAGGCACTCATTTTAATAAAAAGAATACAAGGGGAAGACGCAGTCAATGGTCAAGAAAAAACAGGCGTGCAAGCAGAGTGTTCCTAGCAAGCCACAGCATAGGATAGTGCAGAGCGACAATACATTTTTGGCAGTAGGGAACATTTTTTAAGAACAGCTTTATGTACACTACAGCACAAAAAGCCAAGATATAGAGGCAAAGGATGGCTTTTGTCCTATCTTTGATGGCTGTGGCCATCCGTGGTGCCCATATTACATTCATGTAATGGCATTTGCTTACGCTGCCAGGATTGTGCGTAATGAATGTGTGTAAACAGATCTCTGAAAAGGTTCCGTTTGGGCCGTTCCGCCTTCTTTCTACCCAGGAAGGATTCTGAATTGTTTTTATTTGCAATCGCGCATAGGACTTATCTGGGTGCATTGCGCAGGGCTCTGTTTCTAAATTGAACAGCAAAATGGAATTTTTGAAAAGGCTGAGTCGAAAGGGTCATCTCCAAAACATGCTTTTCATGTACAAAAGGAGGATCCAAGAGGAGGGACCAAAATGTTACTAGTTCTGACTAACATCAATCATGGTATCGAGCACTTCTGCAGCTGACTCTGACCGTAACTTACCTACTGTATAGCAGGAAAATTTCTGCCGAATTTCGAGCTTTCGTACGGATTCTATTTCCGTACAGTGTTGCATGCTAAATGCATGTGTTCGCAAGCAGTACTCTTGGTTATGTACTCTTGACAATAGTATACATGCGTACTGCTTGCGAACACGTGCATTTAGCATGCAGCACTGTGCGAAAATAAAATCCGTACGAAAGCTCGAAATTCGGCTTTGTCCGAAAATATTTCCTTAACCCTTTACCATCCGTGTGTACTTGAATCGATCTCTAGAGATCGATGGACATGCATACACTAAAACATTCGTAACTCGATCGATTCTTGGCGGAATTTAAAGAACTAAGTATCTAGGAAGAAGCCGAAGAGCCCAGCTTTCCATTGCATCAATCGATAAAGAGCTGCGATGTCGAATTCCAAAGATATTTCGCTCGACATTTCAGCTACGGCAAAAGTCGAATTTCTTTCCGAGTGACTGACCTTGAGCGGGGATTTTCCCCTCTCCTGACATGCTGAGTCACTGTGGCATGCTTCGAGCGCGTTGGCAGCATGAAAAGAAACTCAAGCAAAACAATTGGAATGTTTACGATGAAGGAGTGAGAAATGGCTGACGAGGAGAGAATTTCCTCGTATATACAGCGATGGGGTGTATTTGAAGCTCCCTGGCGCTGGATATGTGATCTCGGTAGTGTCCTGTTTGAGCTCAATGTACGCAGCTCGTGGAGAGCTTTCCAGAATGCCCAAGATAGTGAAAATTGGGTGATTAGAACCGAAGATATTCTCAGAATAAGGTGAGAATTATTGCATTTGGGACTGCTGGGGAAATTTGGTCGGATGGTAAAGGGTTAAGCCTCACTTTTAACACCAGAAATTCAACCGAAAGAAGCCGGTATGGTTTATACTACGATGGTCGAATTCACCATGATAAATGCGCTGGATGTATGGATTTCGGGTCAAAAAAATCGAAGTGCAGCTTTTACTCCATAATATACCGTATACACGTACATGTATTCGCCGAGGGTTTTTTGCCGAGGGTTTTTTCCCCCGTAAACACTCTGGACTCAGCTTATATTCGATTTATCGCCCCTCCCCCCCCCGAGACACACCCATCATAGCACTGAAGAATGGGGTTGCATTTTTGTTGCTTTGCCATGTGATCATGCAATCACCATTGTGAAACTTTTATGTTTATGTATCTATGTCATTCGGATCTTCCCAAGTTGTACAATGTACTGTTGAGATACCGAATTCAAATAAATCAATACCAATACCAATACCAAACGAGGGTTGCCTGCTGCTCCTCGTTGATAATATTGAGAAAAATAAGCAAGCCCATCTGCTGCTGCTAGCTGCCAGAACTGATGCTGACACTGCGATCGCCACCTCCAACTGCTGAGGTGCTTCGTGCCTGTAGGCTGTGTAGCACCACCACAGCTTGGTCCGCCCTGCGTTGCCCCGGCATCGTACTCTCGTACACAGGCCATGCTGCCGCACTCTCGCGTGGTGTCCTTCGTGAGTACGTCTTACACCATTTGCGCTTGCCACGCGCTTATGCGGCCCATTCTGGGTCCTCTATTTTCTGTCTTCCTGCCCACAGCCCACCTTACCTGGTGAACTCTCTCGCCATATTTTCCATATACCGTATATTCTCTATTATAAGCACAGGTCTCCATTAAGCATGGTGGTGTCTGTTATATATGGTTATCGTGGGTCCGATGGCCCCCGGGGACTTCGCCTTTTCCATACATTGATATGCATTTCTCCGCCATACCGCCTGTCTCTGCCTGGCACTGTACTAGTCCTTACCCCGTACCGCCTTGTTGCAGTTTTATCTTGCATGCTCGGTTAGTACTATGCATTGCCGCTTGGCTGAGACTTAGTACGCGCGCTGCGGCTGGAGCCCTTTCGTGCCACGAAAGGGCCTGCTTCCTAATATAAGGACTGGGCACCATGCATGCGCCCTGTCTGCCGTAATCCTTGCATTAATACTAGCACTGCAACCGTCATGCAAATATGGCCTCACCTGTGGGCGTACTAGTGCTCCTGGTGCAACCTGGGCTTTCCCTAGTACGGTTGCCCGCCATTGCATGCCAGACACCCCCATTGTTGCGCGGCTAGCCACGCTCGTGGCTTTTGCCTGCTGCTTGGTTGTCCGCAATAACTACGGTTTGCCGTACGCTGCAAACCTACATTTTAAATTATAGTATAAAAAAACGATTCTTATTTGCACATGACTTATGTACGTACGTCTGGGTAAAGGGGGGCACATGCGCAGTAATTCCTTGTCATTTCCATGTGCATTGAGCAAGAACGTTGCCTTTTTCATTTCCTTGTAACTTTTTTGCTTTTGAAGAACTATGGCTGAGTCTTCGCGTTTTGAACCTTTAAGTTCCGCAAGGAAAGATGAGCTGTTGGAGTGCGCAGTGCCGAAGTCAACCAAAACGGCAACGGAATTCTGGTTGACTGTTTTTTTCCGATTTCTTGCAAACGAATAGCAAATCTTGCGACTGGAAAAATGTCACGGGGAGAACTTGCGGGCCTGCTCAAAGACTTCTACTGCTCGGCTAAAAAGCAGGACAAATCCGAGTACAAGCGTTCAAGTATGATTGCTGCTCGCGGGGCATTTCAACGCCACCTGAACTCTCTAGAGCGAGGAATAAGCCTGCAAGGTCCGGCTTTCAACAGGTCCACCAAACTTTTGGATGCTGTGCTAAAAGAGAGAAAGCGGACTGGTTTGGAGGCTCCTGTTGTCCACAGTTGTCCGCTTTAATTTAATATATTTTTAAATTCTTACGATTTTTTGTTTTGTGTCTGTGTTTTGTGTTTGTAGGCAAAATGATGAAAGACGTGTCTGAATCTGCGAATCTGTCGAAACTATACACAAACCATTGTGTGCGCGTCACTTCCATTGTGCACATAAAGGAAGCCGGGACAGAAGATCGGAAGATTATCGCCATTAGTGGACACCGCAACATTCAGTCGCTTGAGGCTTATGACAGACCAAGTGCGAAGGATGTTGTGTCACTGGCTAAAGCGATCGGCACAGAAAATGAAGAACCAGTACCTGTAAGGCAGCCCACCATGCTTGAACAAGTTGCACCGCCACCCGTTTGCGAACCATCTCGCCAGCCTGCTGCAGCCAGTCCCATTCCATCAGTTCTTTCGGCTCAATGGTCAAATTGATCTAATGTCACTATCAACATGATGGCTCCCACGCCTGAGGAGAGGAAGAAGCGACTCAGTTTAAAGCTTAAGAAAAAACCCAAGAAGGAAGCCGAGGAGAAGCAGGAGTAAGCTTATTTGTGCTCACTTTTTTATTATATTTTTTATTATTCCACAATCACGATGACAGTGCCAATAAGCATGTGATGCGGGCGATTTTAACCAGCCATGGTGGGGACAACTGAGAAAAAGAAGGAGAAGAAAAAGAGAAAACAAAACAAAACAAAAGGAGTACTAAAGAAACCCGGAGAGAGCAGTATGAAGATTAGGCTAGCAATGGAAAACAACGAATTCAATTCAATTCAACTTAGGTGCGGGCAGAATGGAACAAAATGCAGCGAACGTGTCACGAGACTTTACCTCCTGCGGAAGACGGAACCAATGAGAGTAGGACTTGAACAGAGGGGATTTTAAAAGGATCGATGATCTGGCAAGTGGGAAATGGAGAGAACATCTAGTACGCGAGCTATTATTGAACCAGCTTAAATGCGCAAGTGCATGAGGAGGAGCAAGTTGAAGCTTAATATGGTGAATGAATTTGCATGCCGAGTGGGGAAAGCGTTCTGAGAGAGTGGAAGAGGAAGCCAAAATGTATAGCGTCTGAGAGGAGGTCAGAGGGGGCATGCGAAATATTAATCGAAGTAATTTACGGTGGGTGACTTCTAACCGATGCATAAGAGCGGAGAATAGATCGGAGGACCCACTTTCTGCCTTTCGTGTCGTTCAATTTTGTAATATTATTGTTATTCAGTTTTTTTTCTCGTTATGCTGTTTTTGTTCTGTATTACCATGCTAGATTGTTTTTTTCCTAAAAAGCGGTGTTTTATAGCACCAGGTTTTTTATACAGGTTTTTATAGCACCAGGTTTTTATATGAGTGATTGACTGGAGGTTTTTTATACTATAATTAATCCATAACATAACTTTATACATGTACATGTACTTACTTTCATGCTGACTCTGCACTGCCAATAGCATTCCCAGCAAGATCAACACTGAGAAGATGTGTTGGGAAAAATGTTGACCATTTGTGTACTGCATGAGAAAAATACAGACATGCATACCCACATACCCAAATCATGCGCTCATACAGACACAGGCGCACCGAGACACGCATGCATATAGACATGGACACACACACACACACACACACACACACACACATACACACACGCACACACATACACACATACACCAATGTACGTTACACGTTTTCAATGTTCTCCTTAGCTCATCATCGTCGCTGAGACGATTTTCCCTGGTGAAAGTCCCGCGAGAGCCGATTAGAATCTATTCAGTCAATATATTCATATTACATAGTTTGATACAATCTCTCTTCCTCTTCTCCTCCATGCGCTCCCATCGGACTATTCTTAGTAGCCATTACACACACACCAATACTTCAAAGAATGCGGGTACAGGTACTTCAACTTGATTGATACCTAGTTTGTTGCTTCATCATTCCATGTCCTGTTTGTTGTAAGTGAAGTCAACCCATACTATGACCATAGTCAATTGCCACTGTTTGACGGAGACGCTGTTAGACCTCTCGTTTCGAAACATTGGACACAGCAGGGACAATGGTTATCTACTCCCCCGCACTGCCTTTCCCTCCCCAACTGAAGTCAGGCACTCCATCACAGAATAGGCCATAGGGTGTGTGGCTAACATAATTTAATCAAAGAACAAGGTAGACTGTAACACATACCATGAATCCAAGTAACAGGCATGGTGACGGGGTTTTTTCTGCAGTTACTGCCAAATATATACATGTACTGACACTGGTTTGTGTCCCAGAAGGTTATTGGACAGTTTTATAGAAATTTTGCTACCATGACCTTCTTTAGCTACGCATCATTTATATGTAGAAACTTAGAAAGTGCGCAACTGCAGCACCTTTGCCCTACAAATAATTCGTTCGCTCAATCACTCACCTCACTCATGTGAGGCGGTGCCTTTGCTGTTTGCGCCATGCAGAGCTCACTAACTTGTCAGTTTGAGTACTCCGGCAAGGTACGTTCGGGCCTGGTTTAAATCTGGCTTTGGAATTATTAGTTTTCCTTGCTATTAGGGTCGGCCTCATTTTCTCTGTGCTACGCTGATGAGTCCACAAGGGACGAAACTGTTCTGTCTGCAGATTGAATATATTCATTCTCTTATCTACTTCCTCATCTACAATGCACCTCCACTGAGGAGCTCGCAGTAAGAGAACAGCTGTCTGGAGGGCATGCAATATCTCACCAAGAACGAATACGGTGCTGTGTATGTGACCCAAGAGCGCAGTGTAGTGTGGTGGAGTGTTTCAAATTATTTTAATAATTTGAAACACAAGTTCGTCGCAGCTTCTAAGTTTTTTCTTACCAACATTTTCCTGTTCGTATCCACTAGGCAGGGAGCTGACTGCTCAGATGTTGGCACTGCCAATACACTGGTGACAACCTCCTCCTTCAGTTGGCGCCCGTTGTGCTTGCTACATAGACGGCGTATACAGTTTTAGCTAGGTGGACATGACAGCCGGAATTGCAGAGAAAGGGCACTGAGTTATTTATTGCGCGTTGCTGGACAAGCGCATTTCAGTTCGGCAAACTGGACGTGGACGTCGTGATGCATGTTGCGTTTCCTGAAGCGGAGGTCCACGCACAGTCAATACTCGACCCGTGCACGTACTTGAACCACTGCACCTGGGGCCGGGATGGCGCATGGCTTCTATCCGGATATCCGACGATCCTAGCCCTGCACTCTAGACTACAGCTAGCCCAGGTCACCAGGTGCTGACATCAACACACCATGCTTCACGGAACTACAGTCTACAGACTGTGGGCTGTTGTCAGTATTGAGTGGACGATATCAGCGGTTGTAGAGCCCCGGTATTTGCGACCATCTGAACCGTATGCGGAGTAGCGGTGTGCGCTGGTGGAGGATGGTTGCTTGATTTGGAGCTCTGACGATTGACAACTGACTGAGGAGGCAACTGCAGTAGCACGTAGACTAGTACAGGCCTCGGGTTCTTGGGAAGCTGGCTTCGGTGTGTCGGCGTAGACTCTACTAGTACTAGTAGTACTGTACTGGGCGCATGGGTCCTGCACATTCCTCGTATCGTTCGTTCTGCGCTGCTGGGCCGCTCGCGAGAAATGTCGTCCCGTTCCGGTGCAGCTCGCCCTTGCTGCTCGCGCAATAAATCCACCGGCACCTGCAAATCTTGTTCCTGTGCCCAGGCGGGGAGATGTTGTTATCCTGGCAGGGGTGGGAAGTGCACTAATTTCGGCAATATTGACCTGCAGAACACGGTTGTTGATGTTGGTGGTGACGCTGCTAGCGCAGTTTCCGTGCCGGATGCTCCGCCTGATGCTCCCCCTGGTTGGGTGCCTCGCCGCGGCGTTGTGGGGTGTGCATCGGGCTCCGGGCCTCAGTCTTCCCGTGATGGCACATCAGGAGATACTGAGGTGTATGTAGGCATGGGCGGGTAATGCTAGTTATTTGCTGTGATAATGCTAAACGCAATGCTCATAATAATATATGAGGATGTAATGCCACTTATAATGCTCACACTACTCCATAATGCCAGTTGGAAAGTTGGAAAAGTCGATTTAAGAAGGCCGTCTTGGATCAAGGCCAAAGCGTCGAAGAAAAAAACTTAAAGGGGAAGTATACCCTAAAATCAAATTTTCACCAGTTGTAGTCTTCGGGGTGCTGAGTCGAATGGTCTTAGTCCGAGAAAGCTGAGACGCTCCCTTCCTCCTTTATTCCCAATCGAACTCGCGCACTTCCACCGAAACTGGGTGACTGCGCCCTACTAGATGGGGATTTGTATGCAAAATGTCACTAAAAGCGCCATTTCGTTCTTATAAAAGCACGGATGACCGCGATTGGCCCATATGTTGTAGTCTTTTGGACGCTGAGTCGACTGGTTTTGGTCCGAAAAGGCTGCGATGCAGCGTTCCTCCTTTATTCCCAATCGAACATGGTTGAACAAGCGGTCACGTGCTCCTGCGTACACCAGTCACCTGGTCACCGTGCCTGCAGGGTACAACTTACTAGCCTGTTTGACCTTTTTTGGGTGCAGTCCTGTCACTCGAGTTCAACTCGAGTTGAACCTTGGTGTGAAAGTTGTCGCCTGCTGGCGCGGTGACCAGGTGATTTGGGCACGCAGGAGCACGTGACCGCTTGTTCAACCATGTTCGATTGGGAATAAAGGAGGAACGCTGCATCGCAGCCTTTTCGGACCAAAACCAGTCGACTCAGCGTCCAAAAGACTACAACATATGGGCCAATCGCGGTCATCCGTGCTTTTATAAGAACGAAATGGCGCTTTTAGTGACATTTTGCATACAAATCCCCATCTAGTAGGGCGCAGTCACCCAGTTTCGGTGGAAGTGCGCGAGTTCGATTGGGATTCAAGTAGGAAGGGAGCGTCGCAGCTTCCTCGGACCAAGACCATTCGACTCAGCACCCAGAAGACTACAACTGGTGAAAATTTGATTTTAGGGTATACTTCCCCTTTAAACAGCAGCGAGCATGTTGTCTGAAACCATCCACTGAGAAGGTTGATTTGCAACGTCAAGTCTCCAGACGAAGCCGGAGTACAACTTACTAGCCTGTTTGACCTTTTTTGGGTGCAGTCCTGTCATTCGAGTTGAACTCGAGTTGAACCTTGGTGTGAAAGTTGTCGCCTGCTGGCGCGGTGACCAGGTGATTTGGGCACCCAGGAGCACGTGACCGCTTGTTCAACCATGTTCGATTGGGAATATAGAAGGAACGCTGCATCGCAGCCTTTTCGGACCAAAACCAGTCGACTCAGCGTCCAAAAGACTACAACATATGGGCCAATCGCGGTCATCCGTGCTTTTATAAGAACGAAATGGCGCTTTTAGTGACATTTTGCATACAAATCCCCATCTAGTAGGGCGCAGTCACCCAGTTTCGGTGGAAGTGCGTGCGCGAGTCCGATTGGGATTCAAGTAGGAAGGGAGCGTCGCAGCTTCCTCGGACCAAGACCATTCGACTCAGCACCCAGAAGACTACAACTGGTGAAAATTTGATTTTAGGGTATACTTCCCCTGTAATGGATCCAGCTACGTCCACTTGGAAGAACATGAGGGGAACTCAAGTCTGGGTAGCCTGGGTTTGACACTTGGCTGAGTGTTTATCCTGAGTTTGGCATGGTCAGTTTTGGCTAAGAGTAAGAGTAGTGACTTTTCATCGCAACAGGATATACATGTACAGAAAAGAGGTACCTACGCATGTGAAGATACAAGCAAGGCAAGTCTAGGCAGCTCGAGGTAGAGTGCTCAATGCACAAAATTTAATGTACAGTGCAGTACACACACACACACAACAGAGGCGAAAGGCTGTGTTAGCTGTACCTTTTAAAAGTTTCACGCATTTCAGCGATCATCACACAGCAGCATTTACCAGTAAATGCTGCTGTGTGTGTATATAAGATACATGTGCTTTGAACCAAGCATCTGAAAACAAAGACGCAGCAAGCTCGTGACCAGAGCGCTTTGCTGCTGGGTGGCTCAGGAAATATTCCATTTAATTAAAAAGGTCATATGCTCTGGCTAGTAACGTCTTGCAAGACATCGGGAGAAACAAATTGAGCCGTACAATTACTGCTCGTGCGAACGCATCCTGCGCGCATACATGTACATAATACGAGCGTACTCGGCCTGGCGGACTCCCAGGTAGGCCTTGGCGGATTATGCCGGCATAATATTTGGCATAATCTTGGGATTTCATCAAAAAATTATGCTCCGGCATAATAATTATACAGATTCCAACGTGTAAGGTCGGCATAATCTTTCGGTTTAGACAAAAATTATGCTTAGGGGCATAATACAGCTTTGTCAGAAAGCCTGCAGATGGGTTTTTTAATACCCCAGTTACGACTCCTTGTCATAGTCCTTGGCGGATTATTCCGGCATAATATTTGGCATAATCTTGGGATTTCGTCAAAACATTATGCTCCGGCATAATATACGGATTCCAACGTGTAAGGTCGGCATAATCTTTCGGTTTAGACAAAAATTATGCTTAGGCCATGGCCGTGTGTGTATGCGTGGTTTCTCAATCCTCTATGTACAGCGTGCATACATAGTGGAACCGAGCATAATTCAGCATAATTCAGCATATTTGTTGGCATAATTGTGGCATAATCAAAAGCATATTAATTTGACGATTGGCCGAGCATAGTCCGCCAATGGCTACTCCCAGGCCGCTTAGGGATCCACCGTGGCTCCATACCTGACCAATAACCTATCCCGCCGTCCTGACCATATTTTGAGCAATATTTGGTAATTAGCTAAAGCACTTCGCGGCTGATTACCCCACGAACGATAGCAGGTGTGCTGTTTGAATAAAACAGGGCAATAGTGTTACAGCACTCCCCCCCCCCTCCCCCTGCCCGATTTAGCAGCCCTGTCTCGATCAGTTGATGGCAATAGGGTTAGCGACGTAGACAACAGGGCGTCTGTTAGTAGTATAAGGTGAGGGGGTGCGTTTTGAAATGAGTCGTTGCACTCTCTCATGAGGAGTATTTGGGGAGAGAGGGGCGTTCTAGGCGACACCAGTAGGTGTGCTTGAGAAGGACGATTTTGGAACACCTGGAGGGTGGTCCAAAACTAGCCTTTTGGCAGATAATGCTGGCAGAAATATTGGCAGGATTTTGTACTATTTCTGGTATGTTTTTGGTACGTGGACGAAGAAATGAAACAGAAATCAAGGGAGTGCCTGCCATCACAGCATAAGGTCTGTACGAGTCTGCCAATTTCGCTACCTTTCGAGGCAAATCTGTTGATTTGTCGGGCATTATCGGCACAGGACTATCCAGAACCCCCTGTCCTTATACTTGTACATGACTGTACTACTTCTGCTTCTGTCAACAGTCGGATTTGTTGTTGTTGGCTATTGGTTTTTATTTCACTTCGCACATTCGAATAGGATGACGACCCAATAAAATGATAGCATAGAATTGGCTATGGAAGAATGTAGTAAAGGCTATGAAATCACATAGCAAGAGATTAGGATACTAACAATTGAGGGTAAACGCGGGGGGGGGGTGGAGAATACAATGTACATGTATCTGAAATACTACGTGAGGATTACTGAACTGTACGGGGAGGGAGAGCAGAGCGATCAGCAGTAACTCCAACTACTATACTCCCTACAGCCGTACAGGCGTGAATGTTACACATGCATGCTTAGGTAGCCGGGTGATTGTGCGCACCTCACCAGGGAGAGAGTTCCACAGCTAGCAGAGCACCAGCAACAGAAAAACGATTTCGCCTTGTGTGAGAACTCAGCAGTACATGTGACCACAAAGGTATTTTAAGACGAAAGAGAAAGACATGCCCTCGGTTCAGAGATACTATCTCTATGTACATGTACACTGTACATGATTCTACAAAGTCATTCTAAGCCAGAGCACAAGAGTCGGGCAGGTACGAGCACAGTCATATACACAATCATGTAAATGTGGCTCCCTAGGCGCTGCATCTGCCGCCAGGGTTTACCGGGTGTTAGCCGCCGTCATCAGTTCCCTTGGGGAACGGACACGATAATAAATATTTACTTTACTTTACTTGCATGCACATGTATGTAGCTGTACCTTTTGGAGTATTCTCATACTCATACTCATACTCCTGCCAATCGCTGAAGCGATGATAGCGAACAAGCCATGTTAGACATCGCAACTACTAGTAGTTACTTGTGCTAGGATTACACCATTCAACAGCTTACAAGGCGGATGGATATTCTACCTACATTAATTTACATGGCTGCACATGTAGGCTGGACAGTTGTAATTTCCTAATCCTGTTTTGACGCACTTGTCACATTGGAAATATCGATAAGCAGATGTCATCTCTGGACCTCCCGTTTACGTTCAACTAGTTGACCATAACCCACACGGACACATCAGCAGGTAAAAATATGTTACACCAACATATGCATGCAAATCTGACGCACCTGTAGTATAGCCACATCTAGCACATACAGTCTATACATGTACATGTACATGACACATGTATATAATAATTATTGTCATGTACAAGTATGCTGTGCATGCACATGTAGCTGACGCCTAGGATGTGCATGTGCATGTAAAAATGATAATTACGTAATTGAACCGCGCCTGTCAAGAGGTAACCCGCACTGCAAAAACATTCGACGCACACCATGCACCACACGGCACGCAAGTTACCAGTACAGAATAATGATACTACTAGTAGTACTAGCTACGACTCTCACTGGTATGCTTTACATGTGCATGTCTGTACAGCAGGTACTGTATACGTATTGGGTACTTCTCTAAATGACTATGCATAACATCGGGTGCAGCCGAGACGATCTATCAAGGAGAAAGTCAACTGCGAATCAACAGTATCTACTCCTAGAACATGTACAAGTAACTCTGAGTGGAAGTAAAACATATTATAAGCTAGCATAGTTTCAAGATTTGAAGTCAGTTTTAATTAAAGAGACGAGAGAAGTGGTCCACAATTCGCTGTGTGATGGTAATATTATAGATATTCTTAGAGGAGAGAAGTGGTCCACAATTCGCTGTGTGATGGTAATAGTATAGACATTGTTTGGGCGGATATTAGAAACATGGTGAGACAAATTCAGAAAATGGAAGTCAACTGCAGGTTCTCACTCAGGGTACGTAGCCGTTTCAAGTTATCTCAATTTTACATGTACATGCACATGACTTGTACATGTAGCTGCCAGTGTCGATGTTCACATCAGATGCACCGTAGCTTCCCGCTCCATGACCTCTGTGCTATCTATTTTCCCTTTCGCCTCTCAGCATCTTTGCCTTTGGCTATCCGTAGCCCTTTCTCTTCTTTGCCATTCAAACAACGTAGATGGCCTCCGCGAGAGTAAGTATTCTAATCGATGGTGGTGGAGAAAGGTCGCTAGTATGCACTTATCATTAATTTTCCGGTTTTGCTCTTTGGTGTACAATGTACTGTACATGTGCGGTTTGTCAAATCCAGCGTCCGTGAGTGTGACCTATGCGGGACGGGCCATTTCGTATAGCGAAATTCTGTATGATGTGAAGCCGACTGAGATGCTTTTGTGTGCGATCACCCAATTGAATTCATCGGCGGACATTCCATGTCCTTGGAGGCGTGGTGTGCAGCGGGAAGCTCTCTGCAACCATTCGCTTTCTACGTTTTCCGAGAAACAGCCCAAAGCAAATGCCGGAACCACCAGAAACTTCAAGCTGGTTTTCTCGGAGACTGTTACGTCAGGGGTTTACGAGTGTGGAACTTCGTCAACTTTCGTGGTATTCTATATTATAAACGGTAAGAGTACCTGATGGTATTGAACGCATGTCAGTTTTTTGTCGGATCCTATATAATATTATACATGTAGGATTTGAGTGTTCTGCATTATCCAGAGTGTTGTAATGGATGCAGATGATGATAGAATGCTTAGTATGCTGAATAAGTACATAGATACCATGCATAGATGCCTGTGATTGATTGGGGAGCACTGCCACAGGTTGGCATATCTAGTGCTTTGAACTTTACTACAGCGGAATACCACCAATACACCATCACCAACTAGCTTTCAGCTCACTTGGTTTGGGATGGTCTCAAGATGGCACAATTCCTGCATATAGCATAGTCACTCGGCATTCGCCTGTGGCCTTCATACACCACTGAGTGGTGTACCAACATACGTTCTTATCTGGTCTTATCTGGTTGCGGTGATTCATGTGGAGTCAGGAAAACATAGCTTTGATTCACGAAAGACGACCTCATTGACCCGGTATCAGATGACTATTATGACGTGTAAAGATCTAAGTTTTCCAACACACCCAAGATTGTGCACATGTCTGTACATATCCTTTTTTATTTTTTTACAGATGCGGACTGTCTGTGTGGTAGGCAAACGTCAGGCACCATCGCTGTAAGTGTTCTTTTCCTTGTCGCCCTGGCTGTGGCCATCGTGATGGTGGTGAAAGAGAGAAAAGGGGCCAAACTTATCAACTTTCTGTAAGTCCTGATTTCATTCAAAGTACATTCAAGTACATTTTTTCCATGGTGGAAATCTAGATATATGTGCAATGTTTGAAGTACATGTATGTTGAGCAATCCATGTCTACTGCTTCCCTTACTGCAGTAAACTGTGGATCCGGCTCCACACTATGTCGCTATTTCACGCAGTGTACAAACTCTGGTCAGCAGTCTATTCTGAGAATAAGCATTGCATTCCAGTGGTGAAATTTTAAGAGCTATGCATCATGAATACTTACTAGTTAGGTATTCACACTAGGCTTCAAGGTAGCCGTCTACAGCATATTGTGTTTGAGTAGTTGTAGTGACATACTCCAGTCATGAATTCTAACTTTCATAGGTCATGAACCCGCAATAGGTCCGTTTTTAGAAAGTACAGTATACTGTCGGTCATGGGAGAATGGGGGGGGGGGGGGGTCAGCTCAGCCTCCTAGCCTAGACCATTCTTTTTTCATGTATTACAGCCTACAAACAGTTGAGTCACCGTGCATACATTGGTATGCTGGTGTGCTTGGTTAAATTATAGCCTGGTCGTTCTTCAGCGCCCGACAGTACTGTGGTGCCCGTAATCCCTACCCTTCACCCCTGATTGGCTTTGCATACACATGCGATTCTTACTTTTTGTTTTGCAGAAAGGAGCACAACAGCCGACACGAGATGAATCAGTTTCAGGCTACAGCATCTCACACTGTCGAGCCAGAAATACTCATCAGGTACATTCTGATTTTACATCTACCTATCCAGAAAATAACAATTCTCTTCCCGTTCAGCCAAGAGCAAAACCCTGGCACCCTAACCTTTTGGTGTCTCGAACTTATAATTGAAGACATCGCGAGAGCAACAGTACTTCTTGCATTGTTAGACCTGTGCCATTATTCCTTGCATAATTTGAGACCAGAAAAGTCCAAGGACAGGGAATTAA